AAATGAGAAGTATACTTTTCAAACCTTAGGATGTTAAAAGTAAGGGTTTGTCTAATCTCTACATTTAGTACACAGGCTTAAAATGTCTTCAGTACACTTTTTATTAATTAATTTACTTTAAAAAATTTACATTAATTTTAACCATATCAAACTGTGCTCTAATGGCACAGTATAAAAAAACTTTAAATATAATTTCCCTACACCAATGTTACTTTTTGGAGGAACGCATTTAACCCTATATATATATATACACGAAAAACTGGTTTGCAGTCGATGTTGCTAACTTTTAGACGAACAAGATTACTAAAACAATGTTGTTTCAATGTTGAAGCCTCTGTTCTTCGTTTTCGTCCAGTTCTTACTCCACCCCTTCGTCGAGCATAATCCCTAACCTCAATTGATGTCTCTTCTTCATGAGTTATTTTTTTTCTTCATCTGTGATTTCCCTTTTGCTTTTCGCTCATTGTCTTTGAAGTTTGTTAGATTTTCCTTCATCTTGTTCTTCCTTCCATCACCGTGATTTCTCCCTTCCATCACCGTGATTTCTCAGTGGTTTGATTGCTTCTTTGGTTTTGTTTAATCAATTTTCCTTCATCTTGTTCTCTCTTCATCTTGGATAGCTATGATTTCTTTATAAAAGGCTGCCTTATCCCAAATGCTCCCAATTGATCACTATTATTTGAAAAAAAAAAAAAAAAAGAAGAAGAAAAAAGCAAAGTTTTGGACCAAAATAAGAAGCATTGTGGAGCATATGTAACAAAAAGAGCTGTAGTATTTTCCTGTTAATTTGGCTTTTCTTTCACTCTAATTTATGTTTTCTTTTTGTGTTTTCCAATTGTTCTTCCTTTACTCTCTAAAGTTTTCAATGACTCCTAGTAGAGATCTTATAAAGGGGAAATTGAAGAAGAGTGGAATCAAGTTTGGGAAATCAAAGATAGAATAGAAGATTTCTGAATAAAGAGAAATAGAGACCAACGACTTGTTGGTCCAAGTGAAAGAAATTCGGTTCCCCTTAAGCAAGATCTTCAGTTCGAGTCTTGTGAATGAAGAAACAGACGTTAGGAGAGCTTCCCTCCTAATGAGATCTGACGTAGCTCGATTCCAGATTAGTCGGGACCCAATGTAGTTACCAAATTAGTCGGGACCAAATGTGATTACTGGACACAG